CACACACACACACACACACACACACACACACACACACACACACACACACACACACCATACAGACACGCACGCACGCACGCACCAACGCACGCACGCACGCACGCACGCACGCACGCACGCACACAACTACGTCAGTCTGATTTATAATTATACCCTCTTCCCTTGCGCACTGTAGCATTATCAGAGTAAACCAGTCAGGGCGCTGTTAGAGGACGTGATTAGTATATTTGATGCGTTTTTAAGAGTGGCTTTTAAAAATGAATGACATAAGCGCGACTGCGCCGCCGTGTACAATGACAGCCAACGTAAAAAGCTAACCGCTTTCTCTGACCAAAGGTCATGAATACTGGCTAGCGGCTGCTAAACCGTGATGCTTAATACTTGTTACCCTGCCAAATTATACTTGTACGCTGTATAGAAACGCTGTTCCTCTAAAGTTTTTCATTACTCTGTACAACAATTATAATCTTGCGCTGAAATTTATCGTCTACTGCTCCTGACTTTGAATTCCTTTGTACTCGCAGGGCAAACTGGTATAAAAATATTCAGCGTTTTTTATAAAAACGTTCAAGATATCGTTAATCAATGGTAGGTATTAATTAAGTATACAGCACGCGAAGCTGTTATTGTAAAAATACTACTACTATTAATAGAATTAATTCAAAGATAATATATAATATCAAGTATATATATGTATAATAAAAATATTATTTAATTAAAATAATTACTAAAAGTTTTGAGGGTCTAATTAATTAAGTGTTTAGATATGAGAATAAATATCGTGTTGTGTTCCCAGGGAAACCGATCGTCTCGTTAATTCGCTGGTAACCGAGGTTAGCGTGGAGTCAGTAGGCGGGAAAACTTCCCCTTCTCAAACGCTGAAACCTCCAGTGAGACTAACCTTCCAGCATCAGTACGAGTGGGTAAGATACGGACCTAACGACGACAGGGCACTCAGAATGGTGCATTTAATGATTGCCTCTCACCATTTGACGTTGTTCTATTTTGGACACTGTTTTGATGCTGTTTTTATTTATTTTATTGTCATCAAAGTATATAAAAATATATACATACAGTATAACACATAAGTGTAAAATACATAATATTATATAATAATTGTTCGTCAGTGAAGCATTTAGAATTTACTCTATTAATGAAACAAGGGAACTCCATTGAACGCACCGTATATTTGACACAGGACAATACAAGCAAGCCAGAGTGCTGTTTCTGGGACTTTAATTTACCGTGAGTATCTATCTATCTATCTGTCTATCTATCTATCTATTTATCTATCTATCTATCTATCTATCTATCTATCTATCTATCTATCTATC